CAACTGAGGTGGTACAAAATTCCAAGTTATCTAAACAAGCAGACCACAGGGCTCAGAAGATAGGACCCCAAAAGTAGCAGAGACTTTGACACTGATGCTTCCATGTGTCAGTTCCCTATCTGTAAAATGGAGCTAATACCACCCACCCCAGTCACCAGGGTGTTGTAAAGTTTGATTCAGATTCTCTAATGATAAACACCATAGAAAAGCCCATAAGGAAATGAATCCTTTTGTATTCAGAGCTGTATTTGGGTAATTAACCTTTTGACCAGCCTACCTGGCTCTAAGGCTCTAACTTGGCCAGCAGCGTACAGCAAGCAAGGCCTGGGCCACTGAACAGCAAGAAGAAAAATATTGAACAGCTGCTTATTGGGTAAGCACCATGAACTGTGGGGCAGGGTGCTTGTGGAAAAACTAGTGAGTGACCATGTAAAGAGAGACTTCCTCATGGCACATATACACAAGGGAAACATGATTTAAGTTGTACGGGCAAGCTTTACTATGACATCTCCTCACATGTGAATGCTTGACCTGGTACATTTGATGCTCTTTTTTAACATAGGCTTTTTATATAACTTCACACACACACACACACACACACCCTCTCTAAAGAATGCATTAGGCAAATAGATCCCTTGGTCATGAATGATATCTGGCACCGCCTGGGCTCCTGTTGCCAATGTTTTTGAGGTCCTGGTTAGCTACAACATTCAATTAGAGACCAAGCAATGACAGGAGACCATTCCCAGTCTTGGCTCTGCAGCCTCAGCCTCAGCTCCAAAGGATGCCAGACTCACAGACAGGGTCTCCCTGTTTTGTCTCCAGAAGTGAACCACCTTTGTTCACTTTGCCTGCCGCCTTCCAGAGAAGGAGATGATTTGAAGTTCAGCCATTCTAGCTGTAAATATTCAGTCTCATTAGGTAGCATTAAAAAATGCTAAAGCCTAATGCTTCATGGTATAAGCTAGCGGTTTCCAACCCCGGGCCAAATGAGGATCGTGGGGGCAATGTTGGTGGTGCCACACACAAAAGATGAGCCGCACCCCGTGCCAGGAGCTCCCCCCACCCCCACCGCTGCACTCCGCTCCCAGCAGCGGGTTGCAGAAAAAAAAGGTTGGGAACCACTGGTATGAGCACTAACACCTAAGGAAAACCTTCTCCTATAGGCGGGTGATTCCTTAATTACCCACTAGGGACAAACTTGCACCTTCTCCTGAAACTTCTGGTATTGGCCACTACTAGAGCCAGAATAGTGGAGTACATGGCCCCCTAAACTGGCTGGCTCTGATAATTCCTGTGTCACACTACTCTAGGGTTGTATTAACATGGCTGAGGGAAGAATATTTCTCATAGGACTTGAGTTTTCCAGCAATGGCCATAGTTCAGGCCCTCAATTCCATCTCTCATACCCCAAATGACCTGCAGTCCCACACTGCATGCATGGCACAGGGTTCCCCTGGCTGCCTGCAGTACACATTTATACAACCTCATTTTTTATTTTCTCTCTAGGATTCCTTGTGAGTACTTGGGACTTGAGGCTTTGACATTTGTGCTCTGCTCTATTTTTTCCTGGGGTACTATGTAACCCCTCTGTGTTGCATTTTATGCATCTGCAAAAATTACAGTCCCTGATCCTGCCACGAGATGTAGGAGAGATTCCATTCACAGACAGAACCCTAGTGAGGTCAGTGCAGCTCTCTGCAGGATCAGGTCCATTTTACTTGTCCTCAGTTGTTTTACAAGATGTCTCCCTGGAAACCTCTGCTTGGATGTGCATTGGTGGGAACACAAAACAGATCTGGCCGCGTGTCAAGTCCTGAGTCTTAGGAACACAACAGTGACTCAGCAAACTCACCTCCAGACAAGCAGTAGTAGGCAGAGAGGCCTTGCAGCGCACTCAGTGCACTCAGGCTTGCTTGGACTGCAGGGCCTCACTCATATAGCCTCCCTCTCTGAGTAGCTGTGGGGACTAATTAATAGATCTCTGTAAGGTGGTCTGAGGTCTTAGGTTAATATGGTGCTGGGGCAGACAACTCCTATTCCATGCCTAAAGAAGCCCAACAGAATACTGTAGCTATGCACTTCAAGCAGACATACCTGCCATCATTTGGGTGTCTTTACAAAGCTGTGCCAGAAATATCTAGGGTTCAGGCCATGGCTTTCATCCAAGCTTGTCTCTTCATCCGCACTCTGAAGGTAACATGGCTCTCTGTTTATGTTTAGCAAGCTGTCCTATACTGCGCGTGGAATAGCAGACATCACTGAAGGGACAGAGCGTGCGATTGATTTCTGTAGCCATCCACACTTCCCTGTGTAGCACTGCCCTGCTGATTTATGTCTCTCATATGCTTTTCTTCTGCTTAGTTGCTTCCTTGATTCTCTTGGCCACACATGGTATACTGGCTCCTTGAGACACCTAAAGTTCATACCACAGCAAAGAAATCAGCTAGAGAATGTAAAGGTAATGACTGTCTGGATTCTGATTTAAACATCTGTGTGTTTAGAGCCTCTTAAGCTTCATAGTAAAGACAAGCAGAATATGGAACCCCCTCCATGCCCTTGTAGACCTGTTTCCTCCTAGACCAGGAGTTTTCCAGCAGACCCTACACAGAACTATTTTGTGAGGACATGGTTGGCAGAAGGGTTTATTCATGCTGTCATGTTTACTGTTGGCCACTCCTTAATGAGGAGTAGGGTGTAAAGGATGACATGCCCAAGAGACATCCCTCTGATGCACAAAACCCTTCCTGGCTCCATTCTCACCCTTGAAAGGTGACTGTTAACTTCCCCTATCATGGCTGACCAGTGTTGGTGATAGTGATGGAGGCTGTGCCTTGGTTGTGACCACCTGCTGCTCCCTCCTGGAGAGGCAGTTGGGATGTAGAGTAGGGGCTGCACAGTGAATTACCCTGGATCTAACCATCCATTGCCACCCTGGCAGGAGGGTCCATGAGTCAGGTTGCCTAGCTCCCCTGATCAGCTGATCAAAATGAAGGTACAGCATTGTCCTGTAAACTTTATCTGTCAACTGTCCTTATACATCCTGGGCTTAATCCTTAATCTTTACCACGGCATACAAGTAAATGGGACTGACGCTTGACATTCATAAAACTAAAGTCTTCCATCAACAAGCCCTTAATGACTAGTCCCCAGCTCCAGTAATTCAGATTTACAGTGAGACTCTGGAGAATGTTGACTATTTCTTGAACCCCGGAAGCCATCTCTCACAGAAGGCTGACATCGACAAAGAAATTCAACATCACCTCAAATGTGCAAGTGCAGCTTTCGGATACCTGAGGAAATGGATATTTGAAGATAGTGACATCAGATCCAAAACCAAGCTCATAGTTTATCAAGCAGTCATGATCTCCACCTTACTGTGCAGAGCTGAGAGGTGGACAACATACAGAAGACACCTCAAGACATTGGAGAAGAACCATCAACGCTGCCTGCAGAAGATCCTTTGAATCCAGTGGGAAGACAGATGCACCAACATTATCCTTCTCTCACAAGTAAACAGCATGTATATCAAGGCAATGATCATTTGTCATCAGCTTCACTGGGCTAGTTGTGTCATCTGGATGTCTGACTCCAGACTCCCGAAGCAAGTTTTATTCTCCCAGCTCAGTCAAGGCATACATCCAAGAGGAGAGCAGACAAAGCAACATCCTCAAGGCCAACTTGAAAAAATGCAACATCAACTTATGAGAGGCTATTGCCAAGGACTGCCCCAAATGGAGAAAGCCTGCTTCAGGGATCTCATTACTTTGAAACCTTATGACAACAGGAGTCAGAAAACCAGGAGAGACAGAGCAGCATGTCGTGGACTGAATCAAGAACCCAGAGCCACCCTCCGAGTCACCCTCCCTGCACAGAAACATGTGTCCAAGCTGCAAGAGAGTCTTTTGATCCTGTATAGGCCTTGTTGGCCACCTTTGGACCTGCAGATAAGACAAACATGGAAGACAATCATCTTCTACTGCAAGGGATTGCTGAAGAAGAATCCTGCAAGCCTCTACATGCAATCGTCTGCAGGATCAGGCTCACTACTTGTCTAACCTCACAAGAAAACCCCTCACACAGTTATCTGGACTCTAAACCTGACTTGAGCATTCAATGAAAAATACCAAAAGAACAGGAAAGCAGAAAAAATCTTGACATTGTAGTATATTGTCCTTTATGGAAACACCTTGTGGAATTTCATAGTGGAAGATCACTTCTCTATCAGGGCTGTCACACCATCCTTTTGAATTCAGTGAAGAATTCCAACCCAGCTCCCAAGTTCTAAAGGAAGGTTAATAGGAAGGATCTCACTCCCTATTAAATGCTGTAGCTTTGGAGTGATTTCTCCAGAAACCTGTTGGCCCTGCTCAAATCAGCATTTTCCTGTGAGGAACTGGTTGCTTTAAGGGTGGGATTATCAAAGCTGTACGGTGTATCCAAATCCCATAGGTATCTCAAAATTTCTACTTAAGGCCATGGAGCAATCAGTGGTCAGGATGCCTAATGTGGCCTAGGAAGCCTATGGCAGAGGCATCAATTGCAGTAGGCCATTCCTCCAAAGACAGCTTGCTCATTGCTCAGCTCTGCTCCTAGACACTGCTAAAGGCAGTGCCTGCTGCAAACTGTGGAGTCCCTCTGCCTCCCTCCACTTCAGCCCCCTGTAGAATCAGGCCCCAAATCCCATACCTAACATAACCCAGTGGCTGATCAAAGAAAATGCCCTGCAGTTGGTCACAACACTGAAGGGTTAATCGCTGTAGGATTTATTTCTAGTAAAGTTTTATTTTCATTGCCAATGTTTAAATTTAGGTCTTTGTGTGAACCCAACTGACCCAGGGCTCAAGTTGCTTTTGGCCCTGGCACATCCTTGCTAGATCAGCACCTGCTGCTGTTACTTTGCTGATCCATGTTTAAAAAAAAAAGTAAAGAAAATACACAACATCCTCGTCAGCAGGATTGGTCTAATACGTATCATTTTATTAGCTATGAAACCTGGTACTTCTGCACATTCTTATTTCTGTTCAGATGCAGATTCAGTTGCTTTGAACCCAATAAAACACACTGCTTCTCTCACATTTTTTCTAAATCTGGATGAGCTGGGAGTTGTCAACTCCACTGCCTGATTTGATTTCAAGCTTTGAAGAGAAAGAATGCATTCTTGGCACTGAGGCAAGTTTGGCACCCACTTGGAGAATGGCTTGATGGGATCCATCCAGTGTGAAATGTTCAGCATCAGATGGACTCTTTACAGGCTCAGCTTTATTCCCCCATTGAGATGGTGTTTGGGGAGCTGGATAAATCCTCTGGTATTTGGACCCTGAGAAATGCCCACAAGACGACACGTTACTTACCACAGTAACCTGAGTGCTTCCAAAGGTAATTTTAACTTTCTTTATTTAGCAATCACTTGTGAACATTTTTCTTTTTTGTTCCTTAACTCTGAGGAAGGGAATCTCTGAAATGAGCAGAGGAGGACAGTCAGATTAAATCAATAGTCTTTGTGGAGTTTACTGTGAATTTGGATTTTCCTTAAGTCAGTGTTTAAGCAAACGGGCCCCAAGCATAACACAGGGGACTGCTGGACGGGTGTTTTCTGCAAGTTCTGGTAGTTTTAGAATTTGGTCTAAAATAAATCGCATATGATGCCCCTCAGGGCATGCTTTAAAACATATCTGTTTATACTTGCTATTGAGGAGGGCAGAGGGTGGTGGCATGTTTCAAGGACTGTTTTTTGCCAGGCCATTGTTGTTTGGGGGGGGAGTGAGATTAAACTAATTTTAATTTAATTTGTTCAGGAAGGACAGGCAGGGGAGAAGAAGAGAAGGAGTTGTGCTGTATGTAAAAGAGCTGTATGATTACTCAGAGCTCCAATATGAAACTGGAGATAGGCCCATTGAAAGACTCTGAATTAGGGTCAGAGGGGAGAGCAATAAGGATGATGTTGTGGTTGATGTCTGCTATAGACCACCAGACCAGGAGGATGAGGTAGATGAGGCTTTCTTCAGACCACTAGCAGAAGCTTCCAAATCACAGGCCCTGGTTCTCATGGGGGACTTCAGTCACCCTGACACCTGCTGGGAAGGCAATACAGCAGTGCACAGGGAATCCAGGAAGGGTTTGGAGTGCATTGGAGACAACTTCCTGGTGCAGGTGTTGGACAGACCAACAAGGAGTCATGCTCCTTTTGACCGGCTGCTCACAATCAGGGAAGAATTGTGGGGGGATGTACCAGTGGATGGCAACTTGGGCAGCAGTGACCATGAGGTGATCGAGTTCAGGATCCCAGCAAAAAGAAGAAAGGAAAGCAGCAGAGTATGGACCCTGGACTTCAGAAAAGCAGACTTTGACTTGCTGAGGGAACTTATGGGTAGGATCCCCTGGGAGACCAGTCTGAGGGGAAAAGGAGTCCAGGAGAGCTGATTGTATTTTAAAGAAACCTTACTGAGGGCACAGGAATAAATCATCCTGATGTGCAGGAAGAATAGCAAATGTGGCAAGCAACCAGCTTGGCTTAGCGAAGAACTCTTTGGTGAGCTTAAACACAAAAAGGAAGCTTACAAGAAATGGAAGCTTGGACAAACAACTTGGAAGGAATATAAGAACATTGCTCAGGCATCAGGGATGCGATCAGGAAAGCCAAAGCACAATTGGAGTTGCAAGTAGCAAGGGATAAAAACGGTAACAAGAAGGGGGTTTATAATTATGTCAGCAACAAGCAGAAGGTCAGGAAAAGTGTGGGTCCTTTACTGAATGGGGGAGGCAACCCGGTGACAGATGATGAGGACAAGGCTGAAGTACTCAATGCCTTCTTTACCTTGATCTTCACAGACAAGGTCAGTTCCCAGACTACTGCACCAGACAGCACAGTTTGGGAAGGAAGTGAGCAGCCCTCAGTGGTGAAGGAACAGGTTAGGGACTGTTTAGAATAGCTGGATGTGTACAAGTTCAAGGGGCCAGATGCAGTGCATCTGAGGGTGCTGAGGGAGTTGGCTGATGTGATTGTAGAGCTGCTGGCCATTATCTTTGAAAATTCATGGTGATTGGGGGAGGTCCTGGACATCTCGAAAAGGGCAAATATAGTGCCCATCCTTAAGAAAGGGAAGAAGGAAGATCCAGGGAACTACAGACCAGTCGGCCTCACCTCAGTCTCTGGAAAAATCATGGAACAGATCCTCAAATAATCCATTTCTGAGCACTTGGAGGAGAAGAAGGTGATTAGGAGCAGTCAGCATGGATTCACCAAGGGCAAGTCATGCCTGACCAATATGATTGCCTTCTATGATGAGATGACTGGCTCTGTGGGGAAAGCAGTGGACAAAATTTACCTTTAGCACTTAAGCAAGGCTTTTGATACTGTTTCCCACAGCATCCTTGCAAGTAAGCTGAGGAGTATGGGTTGGATGAATGGACTGTAAGGTGGATAGAAATGTGGCTGGATTGTCAGGCTCGGCAGGTAATAATCAATGGCTCAATGTCTAGCTGGTAGCCAGTATCAAGTGGAGTGCCCCAGGGGTCAGTCCTGGGGCCGGTTTTGTTCAATATTTTCATTAACAATCTGGAAGATGGGATGGAGGGCACCCTCAGCAAGTTTGCAGATGACACCAAGCTTGTAGTAAATACACTGAAGCTTAGGGCTAGGATTCAGAGGGTGCATCTATAGAAGATGCTTTACTGCTCAGTAGTGTAGTTTATTGCATAGTAATCTTTTGCATCTACACGTGCACACGCTTACTGCGCAGTAAAAATTGTTACTCATAAGTAGATTTGCTACCTGAAAATGCAAGTAGCAAAGTTACTCGTGAGTGGTTACTGCACAGTAACCCATGTATAGAGGCCAACCAGGAGCAAATTTGCTCCCTGTCAGCCCCTCTACTAGGGGGCCAGCCTGAAGCTAGCCCCAGGGCTCCAGGGCTGGGAGCCTATCCTGCCCTGGGGCTGGCTCAACTCTATGCCTGCCCCAGCCCTGGGCCCTTAAAAGCCTGCAGGCACAGTGAGCTCTGGGCACATGCAAGGAGCCTGAGGCCACACCAGGCCACTGTGTCCCCCTACACAGGCAGCAAGCCAGCTATGGCAGCCTGCCTACACTCCAGTGCTGCTTCCTGGGGCAGCTCCAGCTGCCCACAGCCACCCGGAGCAGCCTGGCTAGAACCTGCAGGTGCCGGAGGGCATCACCTCACCGCACAGCTTCCAGTCTCACACCATGACCCTGTGCTGGGCACTGCAGGCAGTTGCCTAGGCCCAGCAGCACAGAGACTCACATCAGGGCTCCCACGCCAGCTCTTCTGGCATGGAGGCCAGGAGATCTGGCGTGGGAGCCCTGACAGCCTTGTCATTGCCAACACCACACCCTGCCACCCAGGGCCCAAACTGGTCACAGGAGGAGACCGGCAACCTCATGGCACTGTGAGGCGAGGTGGAGATGCAGCGGCACTTTGTGTGGGGTGGGCGCTTTAACACCCATGTGTATGAGGGGCCGTCAGGGTGGATGTGGGAGCGCAGGCAAGGCCAGTTGGCGTGGCAGTGCCACATAAAGGTCAAGGTCTTGCAGGCACAGGGGGTCACCATCACCCACCACAATCATCAGTCAGGGAGTGCCTGCAGGTCCATGTCCTTTATGCGGCACATGACTGAGATCCTCGTACCCCAGGACCCAGGCCACAGCCATGCCGTGTACTGCAGCATGAGTGGCCTGCCCGAGCCCCCACTCCAGCCTGACACCTGTGCTAACATGTCACTGGGCAGGGCCCCTCAGGCTGCCAGCAGCACGTCCCACCGAGTTCCCCACCCCCAGCCTTCACCAGCAGCTTGGGGAGCCCGAGCCAGCGCCTGCCACGACAGCTCTACAGCCTCATGTCACCACCAGCCACCGGCAGTGCCAGCTCCTCCCTGGGGGGGCCCTGCCCCAGCACCCGCATGCTGCGCCCCTCCACCCAACGAGTACATCAGGAGCTGCACGTTATTGCCGCCAGCTGGGGCCCACTGAAGCCACAGGGCATGCCAGCCCCATCCACATGGTAAGCCCTGCACTGTGGGGAGGGGGGGAAGGGGAGGGTCCTCCATCCCCAGCCCGGTCCCTGCCCCTGGCCCCAGCCCCCCCCCCCCAGGCCAGCCGCACTCCCCTGGCCCCCAGGTTCCCCCCCGCACAGCAAACAGGGTGGCAGGAGACAATGCAAAACTATTGAGCAGCCTGTACCCCCTCAGCTGGGTGGACACAGGCCTCTCACATGCCAAGGAAAGCATTGATGCCGGTAGCAATGTCCTCCTTGGCTGCAGGGGCAGGGAGGTGTAGCGCAGCCACAGGTAGCCCTCCAGGTGGCAATGGAGGTTGCAGGGCCCCCCCGCACAGCAAACAGGGTGGCAGGAGACAATGCAAAACTATTGAGCAGCCTGTACCCCCTCAGCTGGGTGGACACAGGCCTCTCACATGCCAAGGAAAGCATTGATGCCGGTAGCAATGTCCTCCTTGGCTGCAGGGGCAGGGAGGTGTAGCGCAGCCACAGGTAGCCCTCCAGGTGGCAATGGAGGTTGCAGGGCAGCCCAGGCTTGCCCCCTACGCCATTGAATCTCAGGGTCCCATGCCAGGTGCATGGGTTTGTCTGGGGCACCATGGCGATCAGCAGCAGCAGGGCATAGTGGGTCAGGCACCCCTCAGTCTGTGCAAACAGCTCCTCACGCAGTGCCTGGGACACACACAGCAGGGGCACACTTGGGGCAGGGGGGCAGCACCGGCACAGGGAGCGGGGGCAGACCCCAGGGTGCCTATCTGGAGAAGTCCCCTGTGGGGAGGGTGGGGGCATGGGCAGCTCCTCATCCCAGTCAACTGGGAACCTCACACCCCCCAAACCCAGGTGCTGTGGATTGGGCAGCAGCACTGGAGAGCGGCTGGCCTGCAGGAGAAGAGGAGGCAGTGGGGGTCTGCAGCTGCAGCAGCAGGTGCTGCCAGGAGCCTGGCCTGGCCTGGCCTGGGAACAGGACAGGGAAGGCAGGCTGCCCCTGGCCAGCACCCAGCAAGCCACTGGCTCCAGGGGAGTGAGCAGGGACAGGGGGGTTGGCTGGCAGCCGCCTAGGCCCAGGCCTGCCTGCCTGACTTACCACGGTCCCTGGGCACCTGGGCACGCCCGACCCCTGATCTGTGGCTAGGCAGCGCATGTTCTCAGCCAGGATGGCCGATCTTCTATATAGGGCTTTAAACCAAGATTGCTGCGAGACGGGGAAACACTGACTGGAGCTTGCCCGGGGACCGACATACAAGAAAGCTCCGTAGACAGGGACACTAGGAGAGCCACTCTTGCGGGAGCTGGGGAAATACCTCTCCTTCAGCATGACAGGAAGCCGAGGGCCTCAATAGGAGGACTCAGGTGCCTGTACACTAATGC